CTTTCAAGTATGGACATGAAACTTCCATAGGCCTCAGGAGGAACAAGGCACTAGCACTTCAGAAGTACACTGCAGATATGGTAGATTGTTGTGTAAATAATTGAACTTTATATAGTGTGCATATTGTGTGGACATACCACTTTTAAGACTATGTTCTGAAAACAGAGGAAGAATCTTCAGGTTACTGTTTCAGAAATAAGAATTTTAATTTTCTTTGGAGATGTGCTTATCCTTTGGAATGTCAAAGTATTAATACAATTAGATAGAACCACTGCAGAATTGAAAGCTAGAGTACAACTAGATTACTTGGACTTTATTTAATATGTACTACTGTGCACATAGAAAATACTGATTATGAATTATGGAGAATCCAGAAGAACTGTGAGGCCTTGGAGTTCGCCAGTTACTCTAGGTCATAAGAATGAAAGAGTGCCAAAAATCTTAGTCAATGTTTTAATTGCATTTAGAGATGTTTTTAGAATCAAAATGGCCCATGTATGCATTTCCAGAGGTGCGTTACCTCAGTGCAGCTGTGCTAAAGGCAGTTATGTGTGCACATCTGCTGGCAGGCTGATAATTTTGTGGCATTTTGCCAACACTTCATTAATTAATTAAAGTGTCAGATTTGTTAAAAAAACAGTGCTTTTAGAATGTTTCCCAAAAGCTAAAAAGTAAGTAGGGTGGTTTCTTTGTTTTACAGCCTTACCTGTACTAGCAGCTCATTTTAAGAAAGATGTAATGGTACATGATGTAGAGAAGTAGTGTGTTGCTGTCCCTCAGAATACTTACATATCTGCATATCTCAGATGAAATTGGGACATACACAAAGCTGCTGTTTCACACGTGTAAAGTCTCAATCAACTGCAGACATGGTGCATTTAAAGAAATTTGGCCTGAGGTTCCAAAATGCAAAGAGGTACTTCTGAAATGTTTTGTCTTAAGCACTGCCTGCCTCATCAATGTAGTGCTCTGCTGCTGCTGTTTAATTTCACTTTCTGGAAGTACAGGATGTTGGCCAAGATGTCATATTCATTGAAACAGCTGCAGTGGAAAGTATCTCTGAAAGCAGCTCTGGAAGTGTCTTACCATGTGTGAAAATGTCCAGCACTTTGAAGGTGCTTAGCTGAATTAAGTCCCATGTATTTTGTGTACAGCATTGTTTTTTCCAAGAAACATTTTAAGTAGGAGATCATATAAAACCATACAAAATTACAGATTCTAGGTGCTGTTTCTAATTTCATAGTACACAACTGAAAAAATAATAATATAAAAAACCTCTTCCAGCATAGAGTTTTCTAGATAATTTGTATATGTCTTTTCATGGTGAGATCTGAGATTTATCTCTGATGAAACACACATTTTTTTGGTGATCTGGCCTCTACAAGCCTGATTTTAAAAGATTTATTTCTTCTTTTTACAAGTGTCCAAAGAGGTGGTTGTATTTTTATGTCAAAATCTCTATGAAAAACTTTAACTCCCTCCCTCTGTAATGATAAAACAAAATGAAGTTTTTGAGGAAAAAATGAAATTCCAGATCTGTTATTAGTACAAGAATGAATCAAAGTCAACATTTTGTTTTCCAAAAACTGGTTTTCAAGTCCCTAGCAAGCAGCACAATCCTAATGCCCTCATCTTGCTGAGGGGGGAACCGAGGGATAATCACAGAATAAGGTTAAATATTTTAGCAAAGTTGATTCTGAAAGCCTCTGGAAGATTTTGGAAAGAGATCCAGGTTGTTTAAATCCTAGTACTCTGGCTTAGCCACAGGAACATTCTTCATCTGTAAACGTGCCAACATGCCTGCTTTTTAAAGCAAAATTGCTATTTGTTTGGCAGGGGCACAGTAAGGGTATAGGGACTGTGCCATGGGCAGAACCTGGGGCAGAGGGAGCCAAGCACCAGGTGTGCCCTGCTGCAGACCTCACCCTGCAGGGAATGTGCTGTGGGACAGCCTGGCTTGGTCAGGCATCTTTCAGCATCTCCCAGCCCTGTGCATGAGCTGGGAGGCAAGTGAACTCTATAAGGTACAACTGTTAGACATTGGAAATATGAGCTTTCTTTGGATGGTCACAGAATCACAGAATTGCTGCAGTTGGAAGTGACCTCTAGAGATCATCTAGTCCAACTCTCCCACTGAAGTAGGATCACCTGAAGCACTTGACACAGTTCTGTATCCAGGCGGGTTTTGAATGTCTCCAAAGATAGAGACTCCACAATTTCCCTGGGCAGCCTGTCTCAGTGCTCTGTCATGCTTACTGTAAAGAAATTTTTCCTCATATTTAAATGGAACTTCCTATGTTCCAGCTTGTAGCTGTTGCCCCTTGTTCTGACACTGGGAACTACTGAAAAGAGTCTGGCAAGCTATATGTGTATGTGACAGAAATAGTAATAAAAGTGTAAAAATAAGTTGTACTCTTGGGGAATAAATAAAAAATTAGGATCTGCAGAAACCCCTATGCTGAAGTTTCACTTTTGATTGTACAGGGTTATGCTTCTTTTTAGTGATAACATTGTATTTTCTGTCTAAAAGAGGTGTTATAAAGCCAGAGAGGCCAGGAGGAAAGTGCCTGACACTCTTAGCTGTTCAGAGAAGGGCTCAAGGATTTAATTTTCAGTGGGGCTGAACAGTGAACAGTGTAAAACTGTTACTTTGTTCAGCTATGCTCTAAGAACTTGGGTGGGATTAATTGATATATAGGTGTTTACTAGTATATACATATAGGATAAATCTTTTAAGCCTTGATGAGTCATAAACTGTGGTAAGTTTGACTAGTTGCACCTTGCAGTTAATGCTTTCATAAAATATTTTTAAAAGACATTTTAAAAAAGAGAATAATCTGTATAAAGAATAAAACAGAGTTTTTGCAGACCAAGTCGCTCAAATTTTTACTCAAACTTTTTTTTTTGGTAATTAAACTTTGATGAAAGAAGTGGAAGAAGGACACCTGAATTGGGATTTTTAAAGTATCAGAGATGTTACCAGGTCAGCCTTTTCTTCTGATTTCAGCTCAATTCACAGAGTTTAGTGTCTTTGTTAGTCTTTTGTCCTGCTCTAAAGCAATGGGGCCTCTGTTCTGTGGGCAACTTCCAGTAAGTTTAAAAACAGAATTGTAGCTATATAAAAATGATCTTAGAAGGGGTCACTGTCACTATTTTTTGGCAACAACAATGAATATTTTAATCTTTTTATTCATATGTTGTTGGTATGAGCAGGGTGTACAGGAAATGGTTTATGAGCCAGAAATATTGGTACACAAGAACATGAGCTCAAGGCTCAGAGAAGGAAAAACACCAAGCAACAAAACTTCAAAATAGACTGTCAGAAAATGTGTGCCAAAAAAAGAGAAAAGCATTTAAAACAGAAACCCTTCAGGCTGGTGTTCTGGTGTAATTTAGTGTAGTGATCTTAATTCATGCCAGCTCAGGTTCTGCCCCTGCACCTTTAGGGTATGCACTGCAGTTGGCTGCTGTGAAAAGTGAAAGCTTTCTAGCCTCAGCTGGTTGCTGCCTGTGGCTGAATTAGCTGTGTCACAGATGTGAAGATGTATATTTCAGCTGTGAGAATACAGCTTTCTTTCTGTGTTTAGCACTAGAAAGACTTCTGGTCCCACCCTTCCAATGGGGTTTGGTGGCTCATGGTCCTATTTTCATGGAAGTTGTTTTTTTTTTTTTTTACCAGAGGGTTTGTTGAGGAAAACAATATTTGCATGTACTTGGACATCGCAGAAGGGTGGCCAAACAAAGTACAGATGGCTGTTTGGGCAGAAACATTGTTTAATCTAGAAGATTTGTTACCATGATCCTAACAAAAGATAATGTAGTCCATGAACCTTCCCCCAGGCATGTCTTTGGTACAGTTTATAGCCCACTTGAAAACTCTTGACTTTGACATCTCACTGATCCAGTGACAAACATCTTTATATAGAAATGGTGCTTTTGTGTATTTTTCTCTAGTTTTCCCTTGAAATCTGTTTCCTATAGAAAAGATATTCTGCTCTTCCAGTTCAGTTCTTCAGGTGATTTTTACTGTTCTTGAATAGTGTTTTTAAATACCCAGTTTGATGATCTAAAGGCTGCCTGAAAAAAATGCATTTGTGGCCAAAGGTTGTTTATTTTCTCTGAGCATAAAAATTGTTTTAATTATAACCCCTATGCCTTTTCTAGACATCTTTTTCCCTTTTGTGTGTGCCCAAAGTAGTCTTTTGCTGTAACTGCTGTAATGTGAGGATATAGGCAGAACAAGTAATTAAGTATTTAACTTGTATTCACTTTTGGAAACTGCTTCATGCGTAAACAGGCTTGCCTGCTAAAGGCTTGCATTGCAGGTGACCTGATAAAATATGTTACTTCTGTCTGTAGAACTTGCCCTGCCTCACTACGTGTGTGTGCGCACCTGTATATAAGAAACTGTTCCCACTATTTAGCTTCAAGAACTCTGAAGCTAAAATTTGAAAGCATGAGTTAAAATACAAAGTAATGCAATGACACTAATACCAGTATGTAGAAATACAGAAAAAGGCAGTAATATGAGACTGAAGCATAAGATGAGAATGCTAATATGCTAGGGATGCATGTATGTTAAATGTTTCAACTCTGTTGAATCTGAGCCTAGAAAAATTAATAAAGAAAAATATGAAGCTGTAGTGGAAAGGAAATAATTCAGATCTAATTTATTAAATTTATCTCGAAGTGTCATCTTTTTGCTAAGGAAAATGACAGGTCAATTAAATATTAGCTTTTTTTTTTTCTTTGGTAGAACTGTTGCCCTATGAACTCCATAATTATTTTTTTTTTCAGACACTTTTAATACTGTTTCTTAAAAACACATTGTATATTACCTGTTGTAAGGAAAAGGAGTCTCCTGATATTAATAACACTTATTTGGATTAGAATTTGGCATTGCCTTAACTGATCTTCTAAAACGAATTAACAAGAAAGCAATAATAACATTGCTGTTGATTATAGTCTGATGACTTTTTTTTTTTCTTTAATTTCAACAGATTTGTCCTGAAAGCAGCAGAAATATTAGAGAGGTGCAATGTGCATCATACAATAACAAGCCATTTATGGGTCGATTTTATGAATGGGAACCCTTTGCAGAAGGTAAGGGAATAAAACTTGTATTATTATACAGATTGTTTTGGAAAGGAAAATGTGACTTTTACACCATGAGGCTTTGGCTGTTTGAGTCTTGCTCATTTTGCTCTGTTTGTCTACTGCATTTATTTGTGGGCAGACAAGCAGATAACCTCATATCAATATTTCTTGTATGTTACAGGAATGAAAGCTTGTAAGTCCTGCTCTGACTGATACACTATTGGCTCTGTAGAGTGTTGAAGCAGTATTTCAGTTACTACACTGTTAACTATTTTTTAAAAATGCAGTTACTTTTAATGAGAAGTGTTCAATATGGCTTGATTTCAGTAAATTGAGTTAATTTTTTTCTGCTTGAGAGTGTCTTGAATGTTTTTTAAAGTGCTTTGAATATGGGTTTCATTGCCTTCTGTGTAAGTAGCTACTTATAATACAACTCTATGCCAGCTAAAAACAGCACACATACCCAGAAATGGACAATTCTGTGAGTACTTAGCACGCTCTCTGTAGTTCCTTTAGATGAGCAGCTTTGCTCCACAGTTGATGTTAGCTATTTTTGCAGCTCAACATAAGTCAATGCAGTTTCATATAGGTCATGTTCAGTGTTGTAAAGTTCTCCCAAAAGAAAGTTTCAGGGCTGTAGAACTTTTGCACTTTGTACCATGCATTTAGACAGGAAAGAAGAGCTTGGTACCCCAGCAAGCCCATGGCTGAAGGCATATTCTGCAGACCACGTGATTTCTACAACATGGCTCCTAATACTTACAATGTGTTGTCTTTGATGAATTCTCAAACTCCTATTGAGAAGACACAGGTAACACGGAGCCAGCTCAGCTCACCTCTTTCTCCTTCCTTCCTACACAGCAGCTTAGACTCACTCTGCCAGGCAAGATGACTCAGGGGATTTAAACCATGCCACAATAATTTCTTTTTCCCTCCCCTTCATAGCACAGTTTGCTCCTAGTTGTTTATGTTGGATCAATAAGTACAGCTAAACCATATGACAGCCTTGTCTTGATGGTGAGTTAAGTGTAATTATTGTTTTTTTTAAAATACACGTTTTTATTTCTGCCTTTTTCAGATGGATGCAGCTGCATTTCTAAGCCCTGTTTTATCTGCTGCTCCAACACAATTTTTTGTCTGTATTAAAAAAGCCACCCCTATGGCTTTAGGGTATTTAATGAAAAAAACCTAGTTTATGTTGAAGAACCAAAAGCACATAATGATTTTGAAGGCAGGTTTTGAGAGGAAGGATCCAGTTGTGACAGAAGGAAAACATCACAGTGACAGGACCATAAAATCTGTAAGGAAGTTTTAAATCTACAAAAACAATAAATATTTTAATCATTCTGACTTGAACTCTAATTTGAACTCTTTATTTCACCTTTTATTTTTAATTGTAGTGAAAAATTTATAACCTGAATGGTTTGATGACTGCTTGAAAAGCATCTATTGAAGGGAGAAAACTTAATGGTTCATTGAAAATATAATGGAAATCTGACCACAAGCCTCTCTTAATGAAGAATAACTGCATTCCTAGAGAGGAGGGAGAAAACTGCATATCTTTTGTTCAGAAATCATGTATAAGGTTAAAATAGAAATTATGTAATCTCCAGGAAGATGTGTCTGATACTTCATCTTCAGGAAGATACCTGGATAATGTTATGCATCCAAAATACATTGTCTGGTTTGATAATGACAGACAGGCTTTTGTAATAGTGTTTTATGCAGCAATCCTAGCTGTGGGTTCTGTCACAGCAGTTAGAATTGTACCTGTGCCAGGTGGGTGTAGGAGTGGTGCATGTGCAAGGAGTGCGTGGTGGCTCTGAGCTCTCTTTAGATGCAGAGTCCTGCAGGGACCTTTGGTTTTCCTGTCCTCTGCTGCTCTTTGGTGTGGTAACCAGCAAGGGGAGCCTCTGGCAGGGCTGTCTCTGCCTATTTCAGATGTGGAGTTGGACTTTGAAATCTAGGAGGAGCTGTGATTGCATCTCCAGTGTGTAAAACTTGACATAGTTAAAAATGTATTCTTTGGCGATCTGGCTTTTTTCTTCCTTTTAAAGGTAGCAAAATTTACAAGCAGAAAAGTACTGCAAAGTTTGAGCATTTTTTTCTGATATACAATTTCTCTTTCTTAAAAATAAAAAATAAGTTATTTCAAATTAGAGCCTGTTCCACTGGAAGTCAGACACAGTATATAATCCAGCTGTGCTGCAGTTCATCCAGCTGCAAGGTATTATATTCAGTGAGGCAGCTGCTTGAAGTCTTAATTTCTCATGACAATAGACTGCACTTCTCTGCTTCTTTTTTTTTGCCTCCACCTGTTAGAATCATCTTGATGGCTTTTATTCCATTTTGTGGCTAGTTGTTCATGAAGCCTGTAAATTTAATTACATTGCACTGTATTTTCTAGGACTTTTATAACAGAATATAGATAGCAGCAGAATTTGCATTCTAACATTTCATCACAAACAAATGAAGGGTTTATTACTGCCCATTTTTTAAATTGTTTGTAGGATGTGTAAAAAAAAAAAAAAAGAACCCTGTCTAGGAGTTGGTGTCAGTTCATTCCTGGAAATCATATCTAAGTCTATGCTTATAAAGTAAAATAAGTGTTAAACAACTATGCTGATATAATTAACTTTTATGTGCTGTTCACATAAACATTTCATGTGTACTTTTCTTCAGGATTAAGAACTAGCATAATCTGAGATTTACACAATGAATTTGGAAAAACAGTGACATCTATGTCCTATTTTATATTTTATAAGAACTCATGGCTTCATGTCTTCAAATACAGCTTGGGCTGACACATGACACATACTGCAATTTGCTTTGCTTGGCCTTTTCTAGTATCTGTTGAGTTACTTGTAAATTAGATCAGTCTTAATCTCTAGCTGTTTCTGAGACAATTACTTAGCAAATGAGTAGCGTTAAACTGAACAGTAAGCCAGTACCTGATTAGTGTAAGATAAGACATCCTGAAGCATATACCTAAAATGATTGACAGAAGCTGAAGCACTATAGGCATACAATTTCTCTTGAATTCTGTTGGAATATGAGCACTGATTTCTTCTGGACTCATTTGACATCCTTTCTAAGGCAATGAGGCATCCGTTTTTCACACATTACTGAAAATTCTTTTTGCTTTTAATTGAAATCACTTTAAAATGTTGCTCCTTATGAGACTAGAATTTATTCAAATCCAGTAGAAGTAGTAGTTCTTTTATGCTGTGTCTCTTTTATTTATTCCTGTTTTGGGAATGAGTCAGAAGAGAAAGCAGATGGAAGTTTGCTAAGTTTTTAAAGTATGGCTGTGCTAAAGTATCTGAGTCACTTCTTTGACTTCATCAATAGATCTGCTTCCTGAACATCTGTTGTGTTGAGCTTGACCTGGAAATTGTAAATATCCTGGGTATTACTGAAATATGTAATACTTCTATAGAAAGTTTTAATAAAAAAAATGTGCATAGATACTTACATAGATGGAAACTTAATGCTTCAACTTGGCAACTTACCTTTTATAGTAATGCTTCCTATATAATTTTATTAATATACACATTTTGATTTGCATTTGGAAGTAGCTTAGCAATGTCAGAGCCAGGTCTTTACTTTGGATTCTCTGGTTTGTTACTATTCAAATAATAATGCATACATATTTTTAACTGCACTATTTGAAGTGAGGAGCATACTCATGCCCTCATTTCAAAGCACTCTTCTTAGCTTCTTTGGTGAGAGCTGAAAGTTCAGGATGGATGTTGTGCCTTTCAGGATCAGATTTAGGAACAAAATTGTATTCAGATTGTGTGGTGATGAAGATTGTTAGGCTGGAATAGAATGTAGAGGGAAGATTTCATTTCTGCAAAGTACATGTGGAATTGACTGGTATAAATCCTTTTAAGCCTACTTAGATAAAATTTGCCTTGACTGTCTCCACTGGCTACCAATAGCAAGACCTCCATGGGGTTAGATTTGTATTCGTGCCTGCAGTATCAACAAGTTACCTGAACCTGTGCAAGTGTCTCGGAGAAATGTGCAAATGAATACACTAGTGAACTGAAAAAACACCCAACCTTTTTTTTCCACTGTAGTGTTCTTTAATTTTACTTGTTCTTCTGAAAATGAGTAAACAAAAGCTTTGTTGAATTTCTGTAGTAGATTTTCACCTGCTAGTAGCCCTTGGAACAAAAAAGTGACACCCAATATTCAAAAATTAATTTATAAAAACCCCAACATTATCCTATAAAATGAATCAATGGAATACTTTGATCCAAAAAAACCAAGCCTACTTGTGCAAAGTACTTAGTAGCTTTATCACAGCTTTCTCAATATCCTACTCTGCTGTCGAGCAAAGTTTTTAATAAGAAGGACTATATGAACCAACAGTGTATGACCTCACATAATCTGTAACAGTTCTTATATATGTGTGTGTATGTATATTCCTTATATTGTGTTATTGTGTCTGGAGCCTGTGCAGAGCAGTCTGAAATTTGCTGCAAGTAGACAACTGAGGATTTGGATTCCATTTACTTTGGGGAGCAGTCTGGGTTGAATAAAACTGGGAATGAGAGTAGCTTAGAAACAGAGCCTTCCTAGGAATCAGAAAGTGTGGTTATGGAAGTGATCATCCAGGAGTGAAAACTGGCGTAGAGCAAGGTTGTTTTAAATTAACATACCCTAGGAATTTAATCAGCCTTGGGCAATTTCAGGGATTGGTCTCCATTTTCTGTGTCCTTTGTTTTGGATCTTGTGCCAATCGCAACTTTCCAAGAGTCCAAACCTCTGCCATGTATGAGTTGGGAAATAAAGGTAGTGCTGATTCCTCTTTTTCATTCGTTCTAGCAAGGGACGTGTGACAACCTTACCCAGTAGCAGAATTACAATATTTTTAAATCTCAGTTTCACTTTATAGCATCAGATTGTCTTGTATTTTGGGTCTTACCAAAACTGTCTTACCAAAAGGGAGTTTTTTTCATACTTTTTTAGTTTTTTGAAATGATATTGTAATTGTT